ATTGAGAATTGTTTTTGTGTAGATTTAGTCTTGATCGGCCTTAAATGGTTATGTTGTCTCGTATTGTGCTGGTGAATGTCTGAGTTGAATGTAAAAAAAGTGTTGAATTGATCTGGTAAACTATTGGTATTATGAACGATTTTATGAACAAAAATGGCTATTTGTAATTTGTTTAAGTCATATACATTTATGATTTTTAGTTCACGAAACAGAGGAGCTGAGTGTGCTGTGAAGTGTGTGTTAGCTGCAATTCTAACAAAGTGTTTTTGTAGTTGATAGAGTGGTTTAATTGAAGTTGTGTAAGTGCTCGCCCAAATGAAATTGCAGTATGATAGATACGGATATATTAGACTGTAGTATAATGTTATAAATATTCTTCGTTGGAGGAGGGTCTTTATTTTTCTAATGATGCCTATGTTCTTATGAATCTTATTGCAAATCAAATCTATATGTATCTTCCAATTAAGTTTTTCATCTATAAGTATTCCTAAAAAGCGAGTGTGGTTTACTTGATTGATACGTTTATCATTTATATATATGTGGGCTTTTTCTTTATCATACTTCTTTTTTGGTCCAGAAAAAATAATAAAACTTGTCTTCTTTATATTAAGGGATAACTTATTCGCCTTGAACCATTGACTGACCTTTTCTAATTCTGCATTTATGTGTGGACACAGACAGCTTCCCGATTCGCTTCTTGGGCGTTTCCTGTCTGGAAATAGTCACGAGACGCTGCCACATCGCGGTACCGGGCGACCCACCGAACGTCCGGCGGTTGTGCCTGCTGGCTGATCGGGACGTGGATAGCACGTTCGCCCGAGGGCCGTCCCCGGTAAAACTACGCATCAAATCAAGTTCTACCATCATAGTAAGTTGTAATTTATGCTATTGTTACTCTGTAAAGGAGGTCATGACCTCCGTGCACAGAGTATTAAAATCGCTTTTGTCAAATGTGTTGACAGCTGTAACTCGCGTTTCATTTGCGTAGTTTGGTACGTCGTCTTCTAGTATGGTCTAGTTGATGCACGATGTTTTGTTTTTACCGTAGCGATTTTCCAAGGTCGTGATTGACAGCGCCCTCTGTGAAGTCATTTACCGTTGGAATTATGTTGACGACATGAATTTAGCTCTGACAAGAACCATCCGTCAACCATGTTCTCCACAACCTACACTAAACAACCTAAACAAATGGACTACAGATCACAAAATGTTGATGAAACCCCCAAAACGCAAAGTCATGCAAATATGTTTCTCCGAGTCCCCACCTCTTCCGGAACCACTCAGCATTGATGGACAGCCCCTGATGTATGTACCACACTTGGCCTCACTATGCAAAATGACCTAAAAATGGACATACAGGTCAGCAACATGTTGTCATCGGCTAACAGAAAGTTTTACCTACTGCGCCGCCTCAAAAGTTTCGGAGTGTCCATTCCTGACCTGAAGTCTGTGTACACCTCGTACGTGAGACTCGCGCTCGAGAACGCCGCACCGGCATGGCACTCATCTCTGAACAATGACCAGGCAGCAAAGCTTGAAAGGATAAAAAAAAGAGCATTTAGGATCATTCTAGGTACCTATTATACAGACTACTCCTCTGCCCTGTCGACACATGATCTCACTCACTCTCGGACCAGTATCTGCACCAGATTTGCCAAATCACGCCTCCGATCAGACTTCAGGGACTTGCTCCCCCCATCCAGACAACACATAACAGTTCATAACTTCGAACAAGCAGATTATGAGGGGTTGAACTCCAGACTCGTTGCTATGGACTGGGATGCCATATTGTCAGCGAACAGTTCAGACAAAAACGCTACAGCTGTGTCGTTCATGGAAATACTTACCAGCACTATTAAACTGTTTATTCCCAGTAAAGAAATCACAGTCCGCCCGAGAGATCCACCCTGGATGACCTGTGAAATCAGACGCATGTTGCGGAAAAAGAAGCGAATTTACCAGAAGTACAGAAAGACCAATAGCCTGAATTTGTTTAATGCATTTAAACGCATTCGTAACACTTGCACTAACTTGATTAGGAGAGCTAAGACAAACCATCGACATAGTCTGTGTCTAGATCTCAGTAACCCAACCACAAATCCAAAGAAGTGGTGGTCAATTTCCAAAGAAATTTTTCTCGGTAAAACTGACCGCACAATACCATCATTAATCAACGATGGACGTGTTATATACGATGATAAGGCCAAAGCCAACATTTTTAACGAGTACTTTGCGTCACAAACATACAGTTGGTGCCTCTCTACCCCAAGTTGTGCCGAGAACTGAAACTACTCTTGAGTGTATTACATGTGTCATGTTCTCCTTCTGACGTGTATCAAATCCTGTGCAACCTCGATATGAACAAGGCCACAGGACCCGATGGCATAGGTAATAGGCTTCTCAAACACATTGCCCCATCACTGGCTGGGCCATTATCTTAGCTGTTTGAATTCAATTTATTAGTTTAAGGCGGCTGTTTTCCAGCAATTTGGAAAGAAAGGCGATAAACAAACCAAGGCAAACTTACAGGCGTATTTCTCTTCTATGTTGTATATCTAAAGTATTTGAAAGAATTGTTTACATGCCGTTGTCTTTCTACCTGCATGAAAACAAGCTGCTTACAGATCGTAACTCTGGGTTCTCTCCCGGGGACTCTACTATAAATTCATTGGCGTATCTCACTTATAATGTGCACCTTGCACTTGACCAAGGATTTGATACACGTGCTATTTTTTTGGACATATCTAAAGCTTTTGACAAAGTTTGGCACGGGGGGTTAATTTTTAAGTTAAAACAACTTGGAATAGTTGGATCTCTTCTAGACTGGATTGAGTCTTATCTGTATGATCGAAAGCAACGTGTCGTGATCAACGGCACCTGTTCTGAGTGGCACAGGGCTCTATTTTAGGCCCATTACTCTTCCTTGTTTTTATTAATGATTTAATTGACGATTTGGTAACAGACGGTCGCCTATTTGCAGACGATACTTCACTGACTGAAGTTGTTAAAGACCCAGTTATTTCAGCTGATAGGCTAAATCATGATATGAAATAGTGGGAAACTGGTCAGACCAATGGCTGGTAACTTTCAACCCACTCAAAGCTAAACTGATTACATTTTCACCAGGGGCGAAGCTAGGAAAATAGTGGCTAGCTGCACGTTGATGGATCCAACTGAAGGATACAAGAAGGCCAAAGAGAGCATAAGGAAGAGGTATGGGACACCATACAAAGTCAGCCAAGCGTACTCGGCACAAGTGGAAAAGTAGCCGGACGTTAAACCAGAGGACAAGCAGTCCTTAAAGAATTATGTGCTGTTTCTGAAAGAATGTCAGAACGCCATGCAAGGGGAGCAGCACCTGCAAGAGTTGAACCAATACGCCAATATTATTATTAAGTTACTGGTTGGAAAGCTACCCTTCAAGTTGAGAGAAAGATGGAGGAAGAGGTCTCATGACTTATTATAACAACGACCAGTTAGCTTCGACGATTTTGCATACTTTGCGAAGTCAGAGGAAGACGTCCTCTCAAATGAGGTCTTTGGTGACCTGAACGCCAAAGAACGGGGACAGAGTTTCAGCTTCAGGTGCTAAAGAGGATGTCATCCATATAATCAAATTAAGCCACACCAAGTAATTCTTATGGAAACCCTAAATCTAATGCGAGAGTGTGAAAAAAAAAACAAGGGCCAAAAAAGATGCCTAGATTTGAAATATATTAGGGGACGACAAATGATAGGAAACAAATTGAATGAGATGACACAGTGTAACCACTAGCAAGTATTTTTCTAAGTCATGAAAACGTCAATAAATCAGTGGAACAGCAGTTGTCCTGCCCTGTTTCTTTCCTTTCATCACATCTTCCAGTCTTGCGATTTGCGTCGCTGTCATGACTCTTTGGTCATACATGTAGTTACAGGAAGTAATATTTCTTGTTTTCTTTGAACAGGTCAAAGTCAATCGACGCATGGACGTCACCATATAAGCCACTCTTTGTGGTCTTAGGTAATAACAGAAAATGTGACCCCTTGTTCCTCCACAGTTCCAGTTAACGCCTTCGAAGACCACAACCCCCCAAACGGGAGCTTATCAATCCATTCTGCAACGACCTTGACGATTGGTTAGCAGATGGCGAGGACAATGTCGCTGCAGAGCACTCTAAGACAGGGAAGGTGTTCACAGGCTTGTTTGTTTACTAGCTGGTGATCGCTCAGATTGATACAGGCGACACCTTATATTTGCATCAGCGATTTGTCAGTGAATTTTACCTCTTTAACAGGGTTAGTCCAATGACCTCAAGAGAGTCCACACAATTTGTTACCAGTGGCACTGTAGCCAATTGAAAGAACCACAAACACATGAACATTGGTACATGTATTATACACAAATGAATACAGTTTTCCAGTCATATTTACAAACTCAGAAGAAACAGGGCTAAATTTCCAAATTAACTTACAAACATTTCACCTTCATACCAAGGAGGTTTGAAAGAGATAGTCTGGGGCTAAAGCTTGCGCAAAAAAAAGGAATAAAAGACAAAGGGGATAGAGCATATGACAATAGAGGAAGGGTGATAATGAATGCATAACAATGGCTCTATGCAGATTTGATAACGATGAAAAACTGAACTGTATCCAAGGAGGTAATAACTAGGAATGCAAGCAATCGAACATGTGACCTTTAATTTTCGTGTCTGCTTACCTTGCCCACTCCACCTTTCAATGACTCCCTTTTGTATTTGATTCAATTGTTGTTCTTATTGTTAGATTTTAGTGACAATTGGTGCAAATATATGTAATGAGTTTGTTCTGATTGTTTTTCTCCTCCCAGGGTGCAAAGAGGGAATCAGAGGATTTATTTTGTGTTACCTCAACCGCTACCAGTGTGTGGGGACATCAGAATAGAAGTTAACAAGATGATGAAGAGGGTAGGACATGGTTACCATAGTTACCATGGTTACCATGGAGACATCAAAATAGAACTGTTTCACAAACCTAACAAGATGATGAAGAGGGTAGAACATGGCTATGATAGTTACCATGGTTACCATGGAGACATCAGAATAGAACTGTATCACAAACCTAACAAGATGATGAAGAGGGTAGGTCATGGTTACCATAGTAACGTTACTTACCATGGAAACATCAGAACAGAACTCTTTCACCAGCAACAAAAGTTGAGGCAGTGAAAGCTGTAAAATTTCACTAAGATTGAGTGTGCCTATTTGTTTAGGGCATTTTGAGAATGAAATTTGCCAGGATTTATATCTTTGGTGTGATATTGTAAGCGGAAAGACAGCTCATTCTGCACCAATGCTCTACATGTTTATAGCTATATAATAGTCTCCACATGTGGCAAACAAAACGAGGAAAGTCTGAAATGTTTCCGTGTCTCTCCAGGACAAAGTGTGCAACTTCTGGTTCAACACCTTTTTCGTTAGAGAAGGGACATAACGGAGCTCAGGAACAGAGAAATCCCGCATTTACAGACCTGCAACGTCATGGAGAAAGTTTGCTCATGTGTTTGTTTGTTTTTTTGGCTGTGGGCAATGTAGAGGGAGTAACATAAGATGTCACGCCTTCTCAGGGCGCCTTCTAAGTTTCAGATATGTATGTCCTTTTTTAAGGGTTAAGAATCAATGTTTTGTTTCCTTTTAAGGTTGGTTTACGTTTACACAGAAATAGAAAATACAGCCTTCTTGCTCAATACTGTAAATTCATTTACTTCTGCGGTGGTTATATTTCGTAGTAGGAGAAAAAAGGACGTTTTTGTGAGGATTTTGATTCGCGGTTGAACCAATTCTGTAGTACAGTGTTTCCCAGGTCAACATTCAGCCAAGAATGTTATGAATAAAACCCATGACCTCTTGATCTCTTGTCTGCTAGCCTAACTACTTGGCCATTGGCCACCACGATCATTTTTGCTCAATATAGGACGTCATATCATTAGTATGCAGTATAACCAAAAAGGCTTATATTACATTTAAGTAGGCAGTCTAGTTCCTTTCTCGTTATGATGGGTCGTTAAGGCCAAGGCTTCTTACACAAAACACAGCAATCAGCTTCGAAGCTTCAGGAAATTCCAGTAGGATTTAACGGCAAATATCAATACATAATGGCAGGTTAAATTGATAAGCCAGCCTCAGGAGCGAGCAATCAGAAGAGATTATGATATGGGATGGAACGATGGAATTGTCTCCAGTACAGATCTAGAATAACTTCTTCGCTTCTACATCCGCACAAAAGCCGTGCAATTTCGTTTAAATCATGTTCATTTCTCGTGTAAAACTGGTGTACAGTTTCTGGGTGGCAAAGCAAGAAACATTCAGAGGAGATTATGTTTTATTTGTTATGATATGAGATGGAAAGACGGGACCATCTTCAGTACAGATCTTGAATAACTTCTTGACTTCTTCACATGTGTAAAATGGGATGAAATATCATGCATTTCTCAATCAAAACGCGCAAAAAGGCAATTCTAGCGTTAATTCCTCGCTTAGAACGCGCGTAGATGTTTGTGTAATGGCACGCGGAGTACAATTTTAGGGCGGCAAAGCAAAAAATATTATTGATGAGGAAATCAGTTATTGGCATTAACTGCCATTTCTTTTCAACATTTTTTTTCAACATTTTGTACTTGAAGCATTTGGAATAGCCCTTAAACTAACTATGTACCTTTATTTTGGGGGCCACCGATAAATAGCTAAAACCCGACAACCAAACAAAAACAAGCAACCATTTAAGGTCACCACGTCTGCCTCACAGATATCATTATACTATGGGATACGGTTCATTCAACTTAGAACGCTAAACAAATTCAATTAAGAAAAAAATCCATTTTTACTGCATACAAATCTTTTGGGCTACCTTTTAAATTAACAAAACTTTTTTTTTCCTTCTAGGAGAAATGGGGTAGCAACGGTGGGTGTTGCGCTACAAACTTTATGACAGACAGACTAGCGCCGGGCTGTCGAACGGTGGTCCTGAGGCTGAGGAAAGACCAAATTGACAAGGACAAGAGCAACAAACTCTTTTTACCTAGCATCAAGGTCAGTGGTTTTTTCCTCTATCCTTTGATATTTGCCTAAAAAAGAACAAGAAATAGTCATGACTTCAAGTACCAGAGTTTTTAACCAATACTCCCTATTCACGCCGCCGCGATCTTGGATCGAAAACGAGGCCGGGTGGGCAAACAGAAAATGGCCGCTCCCTCCGTTTCCACTACGTGGAGTAGAAACCTGGCGCGCGTGCCGCCACTAACTCAGCAAATTGTTGATGACTGGGCCAATGAAACAGCCAAAATCCCAAGGGCGAAACAAACTAAGGGATACTCGAATTTTATCGAGGGGTACATTCATGACGTTGAAGGTACGTGGCTTCGTTGTTGCTTCGCAGAAAAATCTTTAATGCATGCTAACTTGCACAGCTGCAGTTCCGGCACACATATGTCACACGCACGCCGCCGTGTTACCTCTGAACAATGCTGACGTGATAGTAACACCAGGGCAGCAAGAAAACGAACTATTGTCCTTCTTTTGGGGGGGAAATCGGAGTAGTTGGAAACTACGCGATCTTCCGCGTGTATCGCACATGGACGTAAAATTTTGCATATCGCCGGCAAAGCACTAATATTCCAAGCCGCTGTACACAGCTTGTTTTTTTTCGTCCTTTTTTCCAGAGATTTGTGCACATAATACATATTATATTCAGCTGGCAGAAAATACAGTAGTGAATAGTTACATAGAATATGTATTTATTGTAGCATGTTTTGGTGAATAAACTGCTGTAAATAACACACTGAATAAATTGCAAAAATATTTGAATTTTGCTTTATGCAGTGCAAGTCCAGGCTAAAGCCACTGACAGCTGCAAAATAAGAGCTAGAGCCTACCCCTCGATGAAGAAAAATGACCCTCCATACAGCCTGACGGTATGTAGAAATTTTGACTGCCTAAATGTTCTGTTGTTTGTTGACTTATGCAAGTTGTAATTTGTTGTTGTTAACATTTCTACTTATATTTGTTTATTGCACACTGCACAGTTGTTGTCCATCTGTCTTCAAGGATACAACACAACACTCCTGGGTTGGAGTAAAACGTCCATGGGCGTGAGCATTCCTCCCTCAGTTGCACCTTTAGATATTTAAAAGGTAATGTCCAGATAAAGCAAAGTATTCTAACAACTTATAATCCAAGTCAGTATACTGGTGCACAAGAGATTGGATTTTAAAATATTCTGTCATTTGAGATATTATGCACTTTTTTGTAATAAAATACATTTTCATTGTGATGTGTTAAAGAGAAAAAAAGTACTTCTGTGTTTTAAATATCTCTGTTCTGATTCACAGGTGACTGTGGCACGTGATCCTGTGACTATCTAGGCCTCCAAGTGCGGCTGTAAGGCAGGGGAAGGGCACTGAAGACATCCCTCCCTCAGGCATGGCACATACCACAACGTACAGAAGGCCTAAATGCCAAGCCGGTGGATTCCCTGCATATCAACAAAGTGAAACCTGTGCAGAAGGCTACTAAGCGGATACGTGTGGCGCAAGCCGGCGTCGTGCCCAACCTGTACTGCCCAGTGCCCCAACCCATAGCAAGCGCAGAATTCACCACATCGCTGATGGAGCAGCTAGGTGCTGCTAACAGTGACGTACAGATCCTGAAGGTCCTGCCCAAGTCTCCCAACCCTCCATCTGTCCCCAGCAAGTTTGGCGCGGTTCCCCATGGATCAGTCCTCTCCTACCAACAGAAACCACAACAAAAGAATGGAGATATCATCAATCACCCATGCAAACCTACATACCCGGCTTTCCCAGTACCACCACTACCATCTACATATCATCATGTCCCCAGTCAAACAGAACAAGAAGTCTACCTTGGCTTACACCTCACACTGTCACAGGCACACGAGGTGGAGGAAAACACGAGAGACCAAAGTCACAACAAGATATGGCACGATGTCCGGAAACACAGACTAACATCCTCCATCTTCAAGCAGGTGTGTTCCAGGAAGAAGGACCATTCCAGTCTGGCTCAAAGATTCCTGTCAGCCAAAAACATACAAACAGCTGCAATGAAGTTCGGAATTGAACATGAGCCAGAAGCCGCCAAACTCTACGCTGAAGTGACAGGTAATAATGTCTACCTGAGCGGGTTTGCGATAAACCCCTCAGCCCCACACCTCGGAGCATCGCCAGACAGGAGGTGTACGAGCATAATGCTACAGATCCACATGGTCTGCTAGAAATCAAATGTCCAGACAAACACACATTTAAGGAATGCGATTACCTTAAGAAGAACAACAACGATGGCACGTACAAACTTAAGACAATCCATGCTTACTACTACCAGATGATGGGGCAGATGGCCTTGACTGGAATAAAGTGGTGTGACTTCCTTGTGAAGTGTAAGGATAACTATCACTTAGAGCGGGTCAGGTATGACGAGGAGGAGTGGGTTAGAATGAAAACTGCTCTTGATGTTTTCTACTTTAAGTACTTCCTCCCACTGATATGCAGTAAGTGAGTAGTTTTGTGGTCCCTTCAACTTTCACCAGGGAAGTCATACCATTTTATTCCAGTCATGACCAGTTGTCCCTTTACATGTCTTCCTCATGTTCTATTATGAAATGTGCAGGCGCGGAGGTGAGCGGCAGCAAACACGAGAGCTCCCGAGTATTTTCCCATTTTTACGTCTTATTGTACTAATTTGCTTGGATTTTTGTCCTAGATTAGCCCACAAGTAATACTTGAACGTATTGTGGACTTGTAAAACCGATAAATGGTGGCATTTTTAGATTTTGAATCAATTTTTACTGTCTTGTTAACCGCCACGTACCGAGTGGGGAGGGCGACGAGTACGAGTAACGTATCTGTGTGGGGAGGACAACCGTATACTAGTATAGATTGTAATCTAGGAATCATAGAACGACGTGTCGTTACACTAGTAACTTAGACAACAGATTTTCGTAGTGATATATTTGGAAGGTCTTTGTATAATTTGTAAGGGACTTGATCCACTTGAACATATATTTGGCGTCGCGTCTCGGGCGCCAACACTGATAGACGTATTTGCATATGAATAGTGTATAGCGTGGGAGGGCGATCCGCATCTGTATGTGAATATTTGGCCTAACATTACTTGTGAAACACACTTGGTGATCAATAATTACAGATACAGTAGTTGGTACTGATATTTGTTGTTAGTCTTTGGTACGTACTGTATATTTTTGTGGCAGTTGTATGATTTGAGCATGTCGGCGACGCGTCCGACCGCCGTTTGGTAAACAAATTTACATATGTATTCAGAACCTAGCCGGGCTAATTAAATTAGACAAGCACATCTGTAGTAATCTTGTACGGTAATCCCGCTAAGGAATAACAGGAGCGGTGACAGCTCTAGGGTCCCGCTAAGGAATTCCGGAATAACAGGAGCGGTGACAGAGGGTCCCGCTAAGGAATAACAGGAGCGGTGACAGCTCTAGGGTCCCGCTAAGGAATAACAGGAGCGGTGACAGCTCTAGGGTCCCGCTAAGGAATTCCGGAATAACAGGAGCGGTGACAGAGGGTCCCGCTAAGGAATAACAGGAGCGGTGACAGAGGGTCCCGCTAAGGAATAACAGGAGCGGTGACTGGGTCCCGCTAAAGGAATTCCGGAATAACAGGAGCGGTGACTGGGTCCCGCGGTTAT